TCCGCCTCGGTGGCCTTGGCCGTGGGCTTGGGCTGGTTGCGCAGCGAACGGCCGCGCGTCATGATGCCCGCCTGCTGGGTCTCGGGATTCTGGCGACCAATCTTGGATGGGTGCGGATCATACTCGAAGCCGTAGGCGGCAGCCATGATCTTGTCTTGGCTCTGGAGGTAGCGCGTCTCATTCATGCCTTCTTTGTCCTTGGCCCTGTAGCCCTTGACGACAAACTCGGGCTCCTCCCAGCTGATGCCTTGCTGATTCAGGTTGCGTGTGCGGTTCTCGTACTTGACATCTGCCGCGCGGCGGCGAAGCGAGTTTTCGTAGTCGTCAACCTCTTGGCCGAGGCAGTTCCACTCGTCTTGCCAGTAAGCCATGGCAGTTGTGACGACGTTCAGAGCTTCCGCGAGTTCGTCCGTCGGCATGTTTTGATAGTCCTTGAAGATTTCGATGAACTCCTCGGGCGACCTGAGTTTGCGGTAGCGGAATGATCGGCTACGCTCGGGCGCCTCTTCGGAAACGTCCACTTCGTCGCCGTCCTCTCCCACAACGGCGGGAGAGTTGTAAGCAGTGGGATCCATTGAGTCGAGAACGGGTGATCCTCGCAGGGGTGTGTTGAGCGCGTTGGTGGGCGCTCCCGTGCCAGTGGCGTCGGCCACGTCGTCGTTGTCCTCGACGACCGGCTCCAGTTCATCGGCAGCCGGGTCCTCGTTGGCGGCGGCCTCGTCTTCTTGGGCCGCCTTCTTCTCGGGATACCAGACATATTCTCCTTCAATGTACGGGGTGAGGTGGCTCCATTTGCCAGTAGGCTTGTAAGCACGGGGCGATGCGTCTTGCTCGGAGAGAGCCTGCGATGCTCGGCTTGCGGGATCCGCTGCTGAGTCTTCTATCTCGCCATCTGCCAATGGCTGAGCGGTGACGACGTCGCCCTCGGACTGTGGCACGAGATGGTCGGCGCACTTCGTATCGGCGCTTGTCGACTGCGAAGCTTCCATAATGGCCGAGTCGAAACCAGACGTGGTGGGAGAGGCTGGAGAGCTCGCGACGGTCACAGATATGGCCACGGCCGGCACGGGGCTGGGTGTCTTGGAGTCTTGCTCCGAAGACTGCTCTTGAGTGTTGGTGCACATGTCGGGTGCAGGGGTATGAGGCTGATCTTGATCTTGATCTTGATATCGATCTTGATCCTGGGAATCTTGGTGATGAGCCTGAAGTTGAAGTTGAGGCTGAGCCTCAGGCTCAGGTTGAGGGTGCTGCGCCAATGGGGCAGACACGGTAAACAGGTGAGCGGCAGCCGAAGGATAGTATGGCTGCTCATCGATGGAAGCCGAGGCGGACGCAGCAGGCTGAGGCACCAATTGAGGCTCCGGCTGAGACTGAGACTGAGACCGAGGCCGCGGCTGGGCAGGCGTCTCGCTGTCCTGCGGCTCTACAGCGCGGCCCTGGCGAATTTCCTTTTCGGGAAGTTGGAGAGGCGGCTCGAGAGGTGCAGCGGCTTCAGCGTCAGTGTCTTTGTCAGCGGCGGGTGCCACAGGCGTGTAAGCGTCGTCTGCCGCAGTCCGCGATGCGAGACGCGGCGACGAAGGCAGCGCGGATGGAGGATGCAGAGAGTCAACAGACTGCACGGGTTCCTCAGAGGCCCGCGGGTCGTCGATGCCATTCTTTATATGTGTGCTGGACTCTGCCTCTGCCTCTGGCTGCTGTGCTAGCGAGTTGTCGCCCTGAACTGTAACGTCCAAAGCAGACAAGGGCACAACTGTGGCGTCGCGGGCTTGCGATTTGAGTTGTGGCTGGGCCGGGCCTTCAGGAGGGTCTGAGGCTGGTGCGGTGGTGAGGTGTGGCGCGTGCACGGACACGGATGGCGGGTGAGCGGCTGCGGGTGAGGGCGAGTGAGAGGGCGAGTGAGAGGGTGAGTGTGAGCGAGGCTTGATAGAGCCGGTGGTGGCAGAAACAGCGGCCATGTCGGCAGTGGAATCCGCGGCAATGGGAGACGCAATTGAGGCCGGATCATGAGCGTCGTGATGCTGCTGCTGCTGCTCGGCGAGGCCGGCAAGAGTCGTGCTGTCATGCTGCTGTTGCTGTTGCTGCTGCTCAGAGACTGGCTGCACGGGTGTAGATTTTTGTGGGCCGGCAGACAGAGGCAGAGACAGGTCTGCAGACGAGGCGTCCGAGGGAGACTCGTCCGGGCCTGCAAAGGCCGTGACGCCGACCTCAATGGTGTCCTGGACGTCCTTTTCGTCGTCGTCGACGTCGTCCTTGTAGGCTTTGGCCTCGAGCAGCTTGCGGGCGGACGAGCGGCGGCGGCTCGAGGGCGTGTCAGCGTCCACGGAGACGCCTCGCCGCTTGGGGTTGGGTCCGTAGAAGTCCTCAGAGTCGTAGTTGGAGCTCTCCGTGCGGCGCTTCTTGCCGTTGCGCGAGGCTGAAGAAGACGATGATGCCGCTGCCGCTGCCGTCGCCGAGGCTGAGGCTGAGGGAGCGGTATTGACAGAGGCAGGGGCAGAGGCAGAGGCAGCAGAGGCAGCAGAGGCAGCCGCCGCAAAGTCACCGTCGTCGTCAACCTGCTCCAGGGTGTAGTCGACACGCGCGCGTTTGCGCAGGCTGTGACCGCCCTTTTTGGGGCTGCTGTCGTTTTCAAAGTCGTCGTCGGCCACGGCGTAGTCGTCCATGGTCTTGGACCTCTTCCTCAGCGTCGACGGCCGGACAGGGCCTGGGGTGGAAAAGGTAAAGGCAGGCTGAAGGGCTTTGTTGGCGCGCCGGCCTTGCGGTGCGGTTTGGGGAGTGTTAGTGGCATGCGCCATGATGGGACTGGCCGACGACTGATGCCGCTCCCGCGAGGCGTCCGAGGCCGACGCAGAGGCAGACGCAGAGGCCGACGCAGTCGCGGACGGCGGAGACGAAGAGGCTCCCTGGGGCTTGCGGCGGCTGTTTGCTGCGCGGCGAGCGCGGTCCATGATGATGCCAGGCCGGAGCAAGCCTGTGAGGGAAACAGGTTTGAGTGTGTGAGTGGTTAAGGGGTGTGTAAGAGAATAACAGGCAGTGCAGGGAAGATGTCATCCGCGAGACCGAAATGAAACGAGGCGAGGCCGCAGACGAAGACGATGCTGCGAGAAAAAAACGGGGGAAAAAAAATAAGTTGAAAGAGAGAAGAAACACGAG